CAGAGATGGACATGGAAATTTTGCAGTACCTTGAGGGTATACGATACTCCTTCTCTAAGAAACTCTCCAGTCCGGTAGGTTGTCACATGTTCAATCTCGCGTGCCAGAAACCTTGGGTATGAGGGGGAAAGTAATGACGTAGTTAAAGCCTTGATCTCTCTACAGGCTGTGAAATTAAAACGGCTTGGGCTCTTCAAGAAGGTGATTAAAGCAGTCGTGAACAAAAGACAGCTTACATTAGCATTGAGGGTTTTATTCCATTAGAAAACCTTGCCATTGAGATTAGGTCGGAGATAGGGGAGAGATATCGTCTCACCTCACCTCATCCTCCCTTTTTTTCTCTGATGACATTTTGCCAGATGCTAGTCAGCACTGCATTATAGCCATAGACGCAGAAAATGAAATAGGTAGTTTGGAAGCTGAAATTATGGTCTCTATAAACAAAATATTTTAACCAAATGAAACATCGAAGAAATTTGGATGCATTTCTGTCGCTTCGTCCAGTTATGGGTTGGGATTTAAAGACACTACCGTTTCAATCCCATTCACTGTTATCGCATAGCTTCATGATGAATATTATCCTCCTAATCTGTGAAAATATCTTTTTAAAAATGAGAAAAAATTGCCAATAAATTTGTTTACTAATTAAAACTGAGTTTGGCTTTGATTACCTCTCTCCTCAGCCAATGATCGGACAGTAGTAAATTATTTTTTCTTTTATTTTACAGGGCTTTCGACTGGTATTTATGTTCAAACAGAATCCCTTTTTTAAGGACATTGTCTTGATGAAGCAGTTTTCATTAAAATTTATTGACCAATGTGAAGATCTCAATGAATTCGGTCCAACCAAAGTCACCTCCACCAAGGCGTATGAGGCTAGCAATTGGCTCACTTTTGTTCCGTTAAAAGTTTTTTTTTAACGTTCTATTTTTTGCGTGCATCTTCTCCCTTGGTTGACACACGTCCTACTGACATCGTTCTCAAAATTGCTAATTTTGCCTACAAACACAAGGACACTGCTAGGCCCAATTTCCACTTCCCTGGAATTTAATTGGTCAGTTCCCTCCTTCCTTTTTTTTCACCTCCATCAAGGTCACAGATCGATTGGACTAGCTCACATGAGCCAACTGGTGATGTGGCTGTTCCACCAAAAGACTCCTTTTTCAATCTCTTTCGAGACCTCCAACCAGGTGAGCAATTGTGCTACTTCTACGCGTAATTGAGGCAATTGTCGCCTTTCTGATCCTACTTTACTGACTTGTAGACGCGCTGGATACACCGGAATACGTGGTGAGTAAAACATAGCCAAAAAATGAGGACGAAGTGTTACAATAATATTTTCACTGGTGCTTTTAGCAAATGATGGAAGACTACGACATCTGCGTCTACATACGTGACCGAGTTTTGCCCTACGCGGTGTACTGGTACACGGGCGAGGTGATGCAGGCCTAGGCACTAGGCCCTTCATCCCACTGAAGCGGGAAGCGAGTGAACCTCCCAATCTCACCCTTCCCCCACTATTGTCTCCCACATTTTACTTTCAAGGTGGTAGCCAAAGTGAAGTAGGCCTTCCGATTTATTCCCACCAGCCTGTTTCTCCCTCTCTTTCACTCCAAAAAACACCAAATCCCCTGTGTTGTGCTTGTATTTGCATTGTATTAGTTTTAGTCAAATAAGTCCTTTTGTGTGGGCGCGTTCCGAATACCTTTTTCAGTCTGCCTTTGGCCTTACAGAGAGGCGCATAAATTGTCACTCTCCATTGCCATGCCTGCCAAGTAGACAGAACGGCTGGTAGACTAGTCATTAGCGGAACACGCAGCCTAGGCATTTTACGGGCGCCTCGATGGCTGGCCACCCACTTTCCCAGTAATTTATTGTGATTAGTCCAATCTAGCCCATTTTTTGGTGCGCACAACTGATTTGTTCTATTTCGCTTCCATCCCGCGAAATCATCTCAGCCGACCGAGCTTAGAATACCTATTAAAAATAGGGAGGAGTGGGAAACAGGTAGGAGATAAACTGTATGAACGCCTAATTAAAATGAAATTTCATCAGTGGGAATTTATCTAGGATACTTTTCAAGTGAAAATTCCTCTCTCTCCCTTTGTGTGGACTTTTCTAGGGGAATTTTCCATATTCTTAGCTGGATGCCCTTAAAATCACAAGGAAATATAGAAAAATGAAGTACTTATGCTTTTATCGACGTGGTAGCGAATACACTACTTATTTGGAGACCTCATTTAAGTAGGCAGGTTTTGGAACAGTGAAAATCTTCCCTTGATTGGCCTTAAAAAGGAGACGTAAAGATCCACGTTATTTGGCTATTTTGGATACTTAATGGGCCGCTGACATTACTCATAAATAAAGAATGAAAAAGTCGAGGTGTCCTTGATCCCCAAATGGCTATGTGTAGCTCTCAGATCTCCCTTCATTTCGTGATTGGCTAAATAAGTGGGAAAGATTGTGGTTTATTTCTGCCTTGAATACCACATGCAATTCAGTTAGGCAGGTCTTCTGACCTTGTCTGTAGCCCCCCAGTTCTTCCACGCATTAATAATAAATACGCTTCTTTTAAATCCTCAAGTCCTAGAATCCTTCCTGGTCAGTAATCTAGAATTTATTTCCGTGATGATTTCCTCAACAATCTTGGAAATCGAGCTGCACTTACTTATTTTCTTCTGATTGGCTGCGATAGCGTTAATTCTACCCTACCTGACCAAATAATCCCTCCAAGTCCAAGGTCAATCAGCGGTCGCTATAAATAGCTTTAAACAAGCCGCAAAATGGATGATTTGGATGCAGGCCTGTGATGTGGCGAATAATTTTTCCATTCTTTTCTGCCTGGTTGCCAATTCTTGCTTGGGATAGAGGAAAGGCGCCTTACTTCGCAGATGTCCGTATCTGTAAATATGCACTGGAAGAGAGTCATTAAAGCCAAGTCATCTCAGGCAATCGAGTTGATGGCGTCTATTATAAAGCTGTCCCCTCTAAAGGTTGGTGTACTGTGCGAGCATTTGGTACCACCTCCACAACTCGAGTAGATAAACGTCACCCTAAAAGGCGCAGGGTTATGCCTTCAGAGATAGCTACTTTTAAGGGTATTTTTACTTGACGGTGTAGATAGTGCAAAACTAATGCATCCCCATCCCTATTCACCTGTATTTACTGTAGCGGTAGAAACCCCGCATACAGTAGATTTGGCTCCGCTCTCCAAGCGATAACTTTTACCGAACTTCTAATTCCTACTGAGATGAATCCACGTAATCTTCCAAATTTCGAAAAAGGAATCTTATAATTTTAGAAACATTTTCTTCATTTTTGTGGCACTAGAAATGCGCCGAAATTCGTCGACCACCACTGTTCACAAATAAGGTCACCATTCTGGTGCTCTAGTTTTCCACTAAGGTCATAAAGTAGCCAAATATATTCATGTGTTCTTCGTAATATAAATCCACTACACTACACTTTTCTTCTTAAAATCTTTTTTTTTCCGCAGTAATGTGATGCTTTTTAACAGCACCTTTTACGGGCACCTCAGTCCGTGCTATTAGCCATCCCCCCTGATCTACTGACCATTAGTAAGTAGCATGCTCTCTGCAATTCCTTTGGCTTATTACTACCGCATCTATGCCAAGGATCACTGAACCCACCTCACCTGTATAACCATTTCCAGTTTAATGATGGACATCGCTTAGAGAGGATGAGGTGGGACCAGTACCTTCCATCCCACTTCATCTCAAATCTGGAATGGAAATTTTCTCATGGGGCAGATTTTCGCGATAATTGTTCTAAATGCTCATGAAGAAGAAGCCTTTTTTTCCCCACTTTTGAAGCACAGTGGTTGTGTTCGCAGTCCACCCACACAGAGGACACGGTTTTCGGAGTGACGGTGCATGTCTTAGATGTGGTGGGTGGCTCGGGAGACCGGTTACGTAACGCGACAATATGGAAGCCATTCCTCCCCACAACTCAGACTTCGAGTAATCCACCAAGGCATGATTGATATTATAGAGCGTGTAACAGCACAGACGTGTCGAAGCCTCAGTGCTAATGAGGAATGACGCACGACACTAGTAATGTCAAGCTCTTGCCTCGACTTTTAATTGCCACTTGATGTAGGTGGCAGGAAGTTGCCGCAGCTCTTATGGTAGATGTCAATGAAAGGTTTTTTTGTCACATCACTCTTGTATGACAGGACCAGTAATTAAATTTAAGTCGTCGTTGGTGTCACGGTGTTATGCCATCTCGTTGTCAATCAGTACTACGCAAATTTTGAACCACGCGGTCACCCTCCCCCCCTACAGAGACTCCACAAGCTCAGATGGTATCAATTTAATAAAGAAACGCCCAATGTGGGCAAGAAACGGACAGGAATTGAACAAAGACTGCTATACTTTGCTTGATGAACTGTCTAGACAGACCACCTGACAAGTAGGCTTCTTCAACACATCAACAATGACCAAGCTTGATGCGGAATCCCTGATTCCACCGAGAGATTTACCGCCTCTATCGAAGATGGCACTGTTGAATGACCCAGAAGAGTAATTAAGGCATTGCGTGGCTTTTTACCCTCTCCTGTGACCCCCCTGTAGCTAATGTTGTACCCTCCATCCCGTCTCTAGAACCGAAACTCGAGTACTACCGACCCAGTATTCACAGGATGAAAACAAGGGTACGCCGTTACAGAAATAAGAAGAATATCAACACACTTTGTAGCGATTTTTAAACAAACAAACTTGGTCATTTGTCCAGAGGGAGAGGAGGTTGGGATTAAGCGGTGCGAGGCGATATGAACAAGCTTCCCCAGGAGGGGGACAATACCGGGATCAGGGTGAAGCAGTAAGAAATTCATCTACTTCCACCGTCAAGCGCACACCTCTTCATGATAGAACGGCTCCACGACGGTTGGAGATGTGAGGCGCTGCATTTTGTGCTCTCATGGAAGATTAAGAATGGAAGTTTCTCTTCCTTCGCCGATTTGACGTGTATAGCTGTGCAGTGAAAGTCTTCCAAGAAGAAGTAGAAGTGATTCCATCACACCATCGAGATTTGTTGGACCGTCAACATTTCCCAGTGGGGATTAAGCAACAGACTACCTTACACATCCCCTCAAAAAGCGTGCACAATAAATCTGCCACATTCCCTGTCCAATCGAAGTACTTCCACAATGAAAGTAAAGGGTGGGCTCAGAAGCAATATCCTCTTCCAGAGACGTACCTTGATCGACACTATGTCAGCGATCCATTCAAATACCTCCTCTACATGCCATTTACTTCTTGCTGGAGGTTCTACTAGCCCTGGAGCCGAGTTAACCGCAGTCCGGAAAGTAGACAAGCTTGGGTCACATTTGCCAGACTCATGGAGGTGGGAAGGGGGATGCGGATGATTCTCAATCTTTGTGAGATTTTGACACGACAGCAAAGTGGGAGAGAGTGACCGATACTGATAGTGAGGACACTTTACAAGCCTCTCCACAAGTTGCAGTACATTCTACCAACAGGAATTACCGCAAACCCTTCGAAAAAAATTCATGGACATAAGAGCTGGTGCAGTTAGGGGACAAAAAAAGGAAGGATCTAGGCAAATGATGTTCTAACACAACCAGTTGCGCACATCCCTGCGAGGCTGACGCTTTTAGCCTTCCAGTAGGAGGTTATCCAGGGTTGGATTCACTTCTGACCTATCCGGAGGTATTCCAATAACTACAAAGGACCTTCTTTTTTGATAACTGGCATCCGTAGCTTTGAAAGCTTCTCGTTTAATGACATTTAGATTGTCACCTTTGGGAGGAGCTGAAGAACCTCCCAGTTCTGAGATTGATGAAAAATCCCCAGGTAAGGGTGGTCTGGGGCCGAGGTGAAAAATGCTGAAGAGGTGCAGAACACCAAACGGTACGCTGATCGTTGTAAGGCAAGTGAGTTTAACAACGGAGCGTCCTCATTGTCAGAAATGGAAAGTCCTCCTCCCTAAGAAGATGATGCAGCATCTCGACAATCACATCAAACCAATGAGCTCCAATCTCACCTCTCACATTTGTCATTTGAGACCTCGAACAATGACTAGTCTACTGACGCATTCCATGGACAGTCCACCCCAAAGAGGTAGAGTAAATCAGGCCGTATATCAGAAGCACCTTCCACCTGTTCCAGCCTAGTCTATCTCCCGCGGTTCCAAATTGGCAGTCAGAGACGACCACTGCATCCCAACTGTTGGGATGTCGCCTTTCGATTACAGCCTGAAAACCGCATTTTTCTTCCCAAGCCGTAAAGAGTGCAAAAAAATTCCATTTTTTTTTCGTCTGAAACTTAGTCGGGTCTAACCTTTTGATGGCGCCAAGGTCTCAATGCTGTTGATTAATTGCGATCCTGCTTTGTACTTTTACACAGCAGTCAAAACAAGGACCTCAGATGCAGCGGAGATAAGAGAAGAGAGGCTGTTGGCGAGAGGCGGGTGTGGGGGGTTGCTTTGGCTAAAAGTTTTTTCTCAAAAGAACTTAGTGTCTTGATTAAGCTACCGAAATAGAAATGCTGGTTAAATAAGAGGTCAGTAATCCCGGAGACGCCGACCCAACTTCACCCGAGAAAGTGTCAGGTGACCAGAAATAAAAGTTTGCATGATTTTTTAAACTTATCTCTAGGGTTCGACTAGAAGAGACTCGTGAAATGCGCGTTTCATGGAGCATGATGGGTGGGTCGCTCCACGTTGGAACCTCACCGAGGTGTCTCACCTGGTGTGACTTATTTGACTGTGAGGATGACCGACCGGGTTGATGCTGTCTCACGTTCTGGAGGACCTTCCAGTCCTGGTGAAAAAGTAACGAATTTAGCGTTTGTTAAGTGATGGAATGACTGACCCCAATGATGGACTGGTCCACACATCTTGGACACATCACTTCATGCCATGGCAACCAGGTACGCCTTGTGAGGAGGGCTCCGCGTTGCCTCTCAAGTGGACTGAATATTGGGAAGGTTTTAGGAGGCAGCAGAAAGCAGCATCCCGTATTCCGCTCCCCACCGCCGCGCCTACTTTGAGATAAAAAGAGGTGAATTTGAAGATAGACATACCTACTGCTTCACCTCAACCTCCCTATCTTCCGCTCGAGGAATCCTATATCTCCACATTTGACCTGACAAAGAGAAATACGAAATGGATGCTTTGGTAGACTCACTGCGGAAGGTCACTGAAGCCGCGTCCATCCGAGCGCTCGTCGGTAGACTCGGACTACCTGAATCCTGAAGTCTTTACGGTGAAAAACATCAAAACAAAGCCCATAGGTCGCTTCTACTCCACTTTTTGGAAGGAGTGGAAAGGTCAGTGATGTTAAACCTGCCAATCGCCTCAGACAAAACAAACCAATTTATACAACCCCTGCCTTACCCACCCAAATGACACCTGTCAGGGTTGATTAGGCGAAATTGTGAGGTTTTCCCAATAAAAGTGCACATTGTCTCCATCTAATAAAAATGGGAGAAAAATTATGGCAGAAAGTGTATCTGGTTGATTATCCTCTTCCGGAGAGGCGCACCAGTTTGGCAACAAAAATTGCTACTCAGGCAGACACTCCATTTGGCGCAGTCTACACCCCATGTCCAATACTGGGACAAGGCAATAGGCATTACCTGACTGAGGTGAGGCAGCATCTCCCAGTCCATGCCCTTCCAAAGCACCAATCATCTCACGAGTTAGTAGTCCGGCGTTTTGAGGCATGACAACGTGAAGTTTCGCGTTGTGCACTACCTGGTGTAGGATCCTTCCCAAGAACTCGGTCCTCCACGCCTTCGAGTTCTATGCCACCGAGTTGGGACAAGCTTCTGCAATTCATCACAGACACAAGACTGTTCTTTTCCCTTCTACCACACCAACTAGCGAAGATTGTCCATCAAGCACCAGTTACCAATTCCCCTGAATGCGGTTCGTCGCTGAAATGTTCAAATTGTATCCACCATGCCCATTCGGGTCGTCTTAGTTGTAGTTTGCACCTGTTCCGACCAGATTGTTGATATCAGCTGCCATGACAACTGGGACAAGACCAACTGTCACTCATCTCATCTGCCGATTTCGCAGATTTCCGGAAGAATAAGAATTTGAGGCGTAACTCTTCTAGGCGGACTTAAAAGTCAGAAGGGCAACAAGACGACCTGTAGGGAGTTAGGAAACCAGACAACCGACTGGCCACCGATTCGGCACCCTTCAAGATGACCACTACCACCAATTATCAAAGAACTAGAAGTAGGCTATAGAAATCACCCACCTGATGGAGTGAAAACTGCCCGATCTAGCCTGCAGATTAAGTCCATTCAGAAAATCCCACGGTACCGCTGAATTTTCAACTTGTTCACCACCTCAAAATGAGCAGTCTATAAAAGCGTATCTCAAGGATGTCTGGAGAGAGCGAGGGCGTTCCCACATCCAAGTCGCCTCCCAAATAGCAACATCAAGAAAGTAATATAAGTATGGTTACTTCAACAGCATCACTATAGCAGGAACCAGATTTGTGTGTCTGTGTGTGTGTTCAGTGAGAGGGATCAGCTCTAAGTGTGACGGCTTGAATGCGTAGGAGAGATATATAGATTGACATCTTTTGACACAGGTAGAGATAAGAGGAGGGAAAAAGGTGTCATGGAAATGTACAAATAACGCAAAAGGAGACGCAAAACAAAGCACAAGATAACGCATTGTCATCATTGCCATCGTAACAGAACTTGCATGTATGGTTTGGTTTATTTCAAATGGATAGCATGGGCATAAAACCAAACAAACCAACAAACGCACACTGTATGTACGTGCATGCGTGCAGGAATTAGTGATAATTCAGACAGAAAAGGAAAGAAAAGAGGAACAGACGGAAGGAGAAGAATGAAGATGGGGGGAAGAAGGGCCTGAACCTTGTTAGCCACTTCAGAGGAGGCAGTTAGGAGTGTCGAGGACGCTTACGCGACGAGGAGGAGTTGGAGGAGGCATTGGAATTGCAAGCTCCTACGGCGGGACAGCGCAAAGGCAACTGCTGGCAGGCGATGGTGCGAAAGCACTCGTTCAAGAGGTGGGGACGATGACGCACGAGTCGTTCGTAGCCCTCTGTTTCACACACCTCCTGTGCGTGCCTGCATACGCCCACATAGAGAGGTGAAGAAAGGAGGCATAAAACATTGAGTGGGAAAGAAATTAAATAATTCCCTTCAATTGTCCTTAATTTCATAAGACTTCTTAGTCTTTGGTTAGTAGAGCCATTCTATACGAGCTAGCATGTTCATATGCTGGAGCAGTGACAACGTGGCGGGATAGAGCCGTCCCAGGTCGCTCCTTGAGGGGAATACTAAGACCAGCTGATGAGTCTAGATAGATCCTTAGAATGTCAAGTGGAGACAGGACAAAACATCGAAGAGTTAATTTGCCCTGCACGGTCTGTTCATATTACTGATGGCCTTGAAAGGTTTCCCAATGGGCTAGACATCAGCTACAGTCGATGTGGTTGGAGGGAGGAGGTAGGAGGGAGGAGAAGGAGGAGGAGTATCCCCGAGGACGTCATATCTAATTTGGTACAGACCTTTCCAGCCATTTGGAACTCGGGTACTACGTCAATATTGATGTCCAACCCAAGTAATCTTCCACCTCCTCCTCACCCACTTCCAGACCCGTATTAAGAGATTGAAGGATCTACCCACTAGAGAAAAGTAACCTTTTAAATTGGACCACGTCTACGGCTTTGTTGGGGTGTGAATTTTCTCCAGATGGTATTTAGTGGACTACTTTGCCAACAAACAGCCAAGCAAGGAAGCAAGTACGAATGCACAAAGGGGATTAGTGTATACAAATGGGGCATCAGTTGCTCTACCATCGCTACGAGCAACACCAATGCAGCTTTAGGATTCGTTGACGCGACCACAATCCCTTCCTCATCAAAGATAAGCCTTCGCATCAATTTAATGTCCCCTCATTTTCATTCATCTGACTCATTCTTTTAGGGTCTTCCCTTTCCTCATCACCTCTATCAACGTATCTATGGCGTCGAGCAGGTTAAAGAATGGCATCATACTAGGAAAGCAAAACAAAAAACCTGGACCTACAATGTTTTCGAGGCGGTCTCGAGCACTACCAAGGTCCATTATGCCGTTTGAAAGCCCCAAGAAACATTACCGCGTGCGTGAGGAAGACACGTCGGGAGGGAGGAATAGGAAGGAAGAACAAGAACTCACAGCATGATAAAATCGAGGGTGTGTGTCTTGAGCTGCTCGGCGCTGTGAATGTCGGCGAGACTGAGGATATCGCAGGCCGCCTCTACAGTGAGATGCTCCACCAATTCCTCCTCGCACATCGCCTTCAGCCGCTCCAATTGGTACTACAACGGGGAAAATATAAGGAATGAGTTTTTGTACCTTAGACTACAGCTGTCAAAGCAATACGATTTGCTTTTGGGGAAGAAAGAAGAGCATTAGAACTGCTGCCTGTGGCATTAACGACATCAAGTGCGGGAAATCAACTGGACAATGCAATGATCGATTGCCATTCGGACGATGGGCCTGCACAATTCAGGAAAAAAGTGAAATAGAGATCCCCTAATCCAGCTGGCCTTTCTACCTTTACGATTCCCTTCGAAATGTCAGATAGTAGTGGAACTTAATGCGGATAAATTACTTGTAAAAGTAGATAGATAAAGCAATTCATCGGTTTTAACTCAGGTAGTAAAGCCGGCTAAAATTCGGCCATCACACCTATACCATGGGGATTTACCCACTGTTACCTATGCTTCGAGTCCTCCCCGCTAAGATCTTCCTTGGAAAGAAGGGATTAATTGAAATTCATAACTCCGAAAAGAACTGCTTTGAAAAGGATAAAGGCTCGGAAGATGGCGATTTGTATTCGGCGCGATATTACCTATCGAAGCAAAGGAGCAAAACTCTACAGATTCCCTCAAAAACTTAGGGAAACCGAAGCCTCATTTTGGTCGACTCTATAAATAATGACATACACGATTCAAAAAAGGTAGGGAAAAATCGCTTTTCTCTCACCTTATCCGCAGCAGCTAGAAGCTCCTGCGCTATCACCGGATTGTCCAGTCCCACCACTCGTCCAGTGTAGATGAATCGTAACACTTCGCCGAGGATATCCGGCTCCACGTCGGTGATGTGGACTCGATTGGCTCTCGATTCTGCCATTCCATGCTCAAACATGGCTGCAAACACTGGGCTCCGCGCCGCCAGGATGGCCTTGTGCGCTTTAAATTGACGCAACACAAAACCGTCACCGTTACTACCGCTTCCAATAGCTGGGGTAGGAGTGGAAGGGGCACTGATAGGGGAAAGAAGTTGATGATAGTTGTGATGCGGCTTAGAGGCGGTAGTGCTGCTACTACCAACAACTGCTGCGGAGAAGGGAGTGGAGGAGGAAGACGCAGTAGCGGAGGGTGTGGTCGCTGAGGAGAGCTGGATAGCCGCTGTTGTGGAGACGACATTTGGAGGAGGAGGTGTTAGGGAGGATGATGTGGGTGGCGGTATTGTCGGCTGCGGCAGTGGTGTTGTCAAACCGGACTGACAATTACAATCTGTTTGAAGAAGTTGAGGAAATTGCATTATTGAAAAACTTTAATGAAACACAAGCAATACCTCGATACGAAGTTCCCATAGTTTTTGATATTAACCACCAGATGGGAAACAAACCAATCTTAAAAATCAGCCAAGACTTTGAAATACAGTTTCAACTGAGAATCTACACTGTACAGTCGCCTTTTGAACAACTGTTTTACACGAGACAACAAATACAGTCAGACTCACCATCACTATAGACATATCCACCATCCATCGAAAGTGGATCAGTGATAGAAGAAGTGGAGGAGGAAGCAGAGTATGTGGAAATAGCATGTCGATGCTTTTGCCGATCATCAATATCGCCACTACCCCTCGTCTGCTGCTGCTGTTGAGGACAACAGGAAGAACAGGCGGAGCATGAAACAAGTGGAGGCGCGGCTTTTCGCACCGCCTCATTGCTGTCCGATTGCTGCCGTATTGGCGGTGGCTGTGTGCCCGGAACGCGGAGGATACCACGAAGCGGTATAGCGGAGGAAACATCTCCCTCACTCTCACCATCTGCAGCCTGTTCTTCTACATCGTCTCTTGAAGGTGTTTTACTCCCTTCGCCCTCTTCTTCTTCATTGTCCTCAGCATCCCGACAGCTGGTTTCTTCCTCATCTGTTGAGGCAGCAGGCAGGATGGAAGACTCACTATCAAGTCCTCCTACTTGGAGCGGCGATGGGTTATCAGGAATCTGTTGGGGTGGGGAGATGGGAGAGGCCATCACAACTAGGGTGACGTCAGTCAGGGTCTGTTTGAGGAGTAGGGAACCGATGTCCTCGTGGAGACGACACTCAGGCACAGTGACCTGTTGATTATTTATCTGACCACTGTCGGAGAGGGTGTCACCCACCACAGATATCTGAAAATGGAGAAATTTGGTTAATCAACTGCAGGATAACACCCGAAAATGCTGAGAAGGGGAGGAGGAAAATAAACACCTATCATCAACAATGAGCGTGGGAGTGAGGAGCACAAGTAATTTCAGGGATTATTAATTGGCACCACGGTTGAATCCCATGACTTGCCTTTCAATCAACCTAACTCCACAGTAATTGACCAGTAAAGAGAGAGAAGTTGAAGAATAACGTGTTCACCACTGTCTTTTTCCCACAGATAAAAACCGGTAAATTCAATCAGATAGGTTATTTAGTTAACTAACCTCCCCACACCCTCCTTTAATTGGAACCTTTAACACAGACGACAGACCCATACCAAAGGTAATGAGACGGTAGAGGTGAGGGAGGGTGAGAAGTGGTCGTGTCTCAGTGTCGTGGGACCATCAATGCCCGAGAAACTAGCTAGTCGCATCGTGGCACAAAGGTAACCACTAAAAGTGAAGAAACAGCGAGATACGCGGAAATTTACAGCCACCTGCAAGTGTGCACAATGGGCGTCGAATGCGGGTGAGGTGGGAAGCTGGAAAGTGGCGCTTTAGACATCGCTGTCAGACGGTATGGTTTTCACAACGCATACCTGAGAGGAAAAGGCGACAAAACAGTAAAAAGCACCACCGCGAAGGAGAATTCACCTAATTGGTCAACTTCAAGGTTGGTGGGGATGGTGACGACATAACGCGTATTGACTAACTTGCATTCAATTGACCGGGTTATGAAATAAAAATCCCTTAGGAAGAAGTCTGGGTCGTCCCGCCTGAGACACATTAGATGGAAGGAGAATAGAAAATGGAACGGCGAAGCCCAACTGCGTTCCTGCGACCTAGAAATAGGCAGGCATCCCGTGCTCTACACTCAGCATGCTTCGGTCCAGTGGAGGAGGAGGGCTGATGTGAGACCCCAGTGAAGCCTATTTAATCAAATTGACTATGACCCAATCCACTGCTTTGCGACTTTTACGGTGGATGGAGGTTTCTTCGACAGGTTGGAACTCATGCACTAGAATAGCTGTTTCTGCATTATTTGATAGTGAATATCCATCCATCCTGCGGCAGCCAGTATTTCTTCATTTCATGCAGATGACTATGTACTGTTAAAACGTTACAAACCACAAACAAATAAATCGGGCAATAATATGCACGAAATAAAGTAGCAAATGTGAAGACGATAAATCACCCCATTGATAGACACCCATGGTTAATTCATAGAGCAATAAAACAACCAGTATTGGAATGGCTTGAACGAATAGAAAGCATATCAAATTGCCTACTACTCAAACTAATAACCTGATGAACGAAAAGCTGTTCACACTCCGACTAGTTTCATGATGAATTGAATAGATGGAACTAACTGTGTGTATCGGAATGAGTATCTCCAATCCAAAAACATCAGGAGTAGCCAAGTCAAAGTGTCATAAAGGTGCCCGAGGCAGTTGAAATTAAGGATAGCTGACGAAAATCGGTTGTATTATGCTTACTTCACAAACAATGGTGAGTCGATCATTGGGGAGGAGTCCACTGGTCTCATCCATAAGAACGTCGCGGCGAATAAACTTTTTGAAGCCCCAGTCCTTGCCCTGTACGAAGCGATATGCCCTCTGACTCTCTGTAAACGTAACGAAGGATTAAGGGGAGCACAGGAGAAAGGGTGAGCAAACAGGGGAGAGGGAAAGAAGGAATGCAACCCACCCATGGCTTTGGTTTCTTCGCGCTTCGCATTGAGGATAGAGAACTTAAATTTAGCACGAGCCTCACTCTTTGAGCCGCAGTTGATGAGTAGGAGGTAGAGAGAGAGATACTCCCGACTCTCCTCGTCCAAGCCCTTCGGATTTATACGGAGACACCTAAAACAAATGGAGTGAGAGACTGAGATGGAGTAAGAACGAGGTTGAGGGCTTACTGCTTGTCAACTGACAATCATGTGATATCACTTCGCTGTGCGACGGCTGAAGAGCGCCCCGATCTTCAAGCCAGCTACAGCCATGAACAAATTAACAACAGAAAATGAAACTACGGAATCAACGGGATCTGTTGACGCGCCTACTCTTTCTGTTATGAAAGTTGATAGCATTATAGGAAAAAAAGGAGGACCAATTCATCGTATTTGAGGGTACCACATGACTTCTGCACGGCAGATCGGATTTTCTTTTGATCTATGACGGGTCGCCATATCATGCTGGATGTAGTGTCTGCAGAATTTCTATATTGGTAGTAAAGATTCACCGTCTTTAAGCAGAAATAAAACACCCTTTCAAAGAATAATGATCCATAAGTCCAATCGACTAAAATCGCGACTACCCTGGGAGCGATTTACACGACCACAAGGATATTCGCATCTAAGAGCTGGCGAAAATGTCAAATGCGAGTGTCGGATCTACCCACAGCGTCCTGATTCACGACACTAGCAAGTATCGTGGTTGAAAGCCCCACCCAAAGAGCACGAATTAAACCAGTTTAACTGTGGTCTACGGGTGGATGGAAAGGCTTCTAAGTCGTCGCACCGATGGTGTGACAGAAGCACCTAGTTAGCCACAATCACGAGAAATTGAAAGACCCAGGGTTAATGTGAAGGGGCTAGAGATTAAACCTCTGCACAGAGCTAAGTGGACTAGACCCTCAAATGGCTTCAGGCTTTTACAAAACAGTCTAGGCGATGCCAGCACACCCACTTATTCGTCACACACCCTCTTGTGTTTGGAAAATACGTAGATAATTACTTACAGCTGACTGTAGCAGACGCATCTTACACGTATGAAACGAATCATACAGAATTCATATGGGTGGTAGGCTTACTTTCTCTCCACTGAACACTCACGCCAAGGCACACATACACCTTTCTCACACAACAGCCAGTTTATGATAGCAATTTTTCCGATCTGTTTGCTACAATTCGCGTGCGAGTTTACAACTGTCTTTATTTAATGATGATAAAAGGAAGCTAAACTCGAATATAATCAATTCCCTCCCATTTCCTCCTTCCGCCATCATTCAAGCGCACCTCCAACCTCCAAAATATCCCACATGTATTTGACCAGTACGGTTCTATTTAATTATTTATCCACTAAACGGTATATTTCAATGTGGAGGGATTGATACCTTCCCAAAGACATTCAAACTGCGCCTCACTAGCAATCCTGAGACGCAGTTCCGCAGTCATGTCCACCTCAGAGTGGCCACCTCACCAGATTCCAATGATCAAACTACATGCTTAGTCACGGCAAATTACTGCCCTCCTTCCATCTGTACAATTCCCATTCCAACGACAAGACTCTAAAATTCACTTTGATACGCCAAAACTAAGCAGGAGGTGTAATTACCAAGAGCATTGGATAAGGACATCACTTGAAGAAAGCACAGTCCAACTTCCTACCCCTCTCTCAACAAAGTACGGCCTTCAAGCTGCGGAGGACAAACGCACCATCGGCAGTTTAAATGAACTTGGACGATCCCCATCCGACGACATAGATGGGGGGGGGAAGATTTGCATACCTCCGGGGATTGTGATTACCCTCAATGATATACTTCAATAAGTAGGAAAAGGATCAACAATACGGTGGATTATTTCTTCCGAACTCAATCAAACTGTTCACAACACGATTTACTGCAACTAGCAATTAGCTGTTTAATAAGGAGACCAATATCCCTGAAGCTGCCCTAAGAGCAGGATGCATTAAAACGACTTTTATGCATTCTTTTCCTGTAATTGACGGTCGAATAAATAAAAACAGATGAGCAGCTGGAAGGAGAGGGAGGAAAAAAACAAACGCACCATTTGAGTTTGTCATTAGGTCCCGAGGAGAAGACACTACTTTTCACCACCTCACCGAGTTCCTCCCTACAGAAAGAGAAGTTGCTGATGGTCCAGATATAGCGTAGTTTGGTGACGCGGACCTGCGTATGGCACCAATATTCTGCCACCACGGGCGGTGCAAAGGCCTCTAGGCTAGCTGATGGTGGTGGTGGCTGCGGTGGTGGTGGAGTGGCGGTGCGACTCACTGTAGCCACTTGAGCGTTCTGGCCCGTGTCTGTGGTATCCAAGGTGGCGAAACGCTGTACGTCCATTTCAAAGTGGAGGAGAAGACGGTTGTGGAGGTAGACTGGGAGGGTTGAACTGTAGAAAAGGACATCAAGCATAAATAATATGGTGTGTTTTCCACCTGTGGTTTAGAGGTAGCTAGCCTTTTTCTCCGAAACCGCTCTAAGAAGATGACATAAGACTATATAAGAGACCAAACCCCATTAAGTATTTACAATTACCAAAGTAAAGTGAAGCCATCGAAATGTGGACATCCAAAACAACGCTTAGAGAAAGCTTGGCTAAATAACATTCGGCTTAGACTTAACTTGACTATACGATCCCCTCAGTTCCATGTAACTTCTGGTAACAGTCTTATAGGCTTTCCATTCGGACTCACGAATCCTATAACGTCTCCGGTGAGAACTAGGGGCTGCGAGAAAGACGGAAAAGGAAAAAGGTCCAAATGATATTCGAACCAATTTGAGGGTCTGTAACTGTAGTCACTTTGTCCTTTAGCTGAGACAAAACTAGAACAAGGCGAATCGCGTGAAAAAACCGAAGAGTACTTTAAGTGGTGCGCGAACAAAACTAAGTGTATGTAGCCGATGCCTTACAAACTCACATTATATTGTAAGTTATCAACAGACGGTGTTTGTTAAAACGGTATTTTCCAAAACACAGCGAAAAGAAGAGAGGAGTAAGGCATGAATGATACGAAAGCGGGGGAACGAGTTTCAGATGATGCACAGGCCAAGCTGAGCAGATGTGACCGCGATTGTGCATAAAACAGGTCGAGATCCCGTAACCGCAGTCATGCAGTAGACTCATAATACATAAGCGTGCATTTTAGAGTAAAATCCACCGAAGTTATGGTATGAGATAAATGACAAACGAACCACGAAAACAACGTTGAGCATCTACGAGTCGTTGTGCTGTTTGCTTTATTGTTTAGTGACAGCAAAACATTCCCCTTTATTCAAAGAAAAGCCAACCCCCTGAACTACGCATAAGAAAGGGTAAGCGCTTTTAGGCGTGCAGTCCAATTTGAACCTCCGTTACTGCAATCGCATCGCATACTCATATAACGGGTGAGTTCAGAGCCTCACTAAGTCATTCACCATCAATGTAGACGCTCTCCAATCCACGTTGAAGTAGTATAGGCAAGTGTTAACTGATATGAGTATGATGCTGAGCACAGGTGACTGTGGTCACGCTGGCCACCCATACAGCATTTAAGTTCGCAGCCTAGTGGCAATTAAGCTTCCAGCTTTGTTGAGGGGGCTAATGAAAAGCTGAGGAGGATCAGGCTTAAATAGAGAATCATTAAGTAACAAGAAAAAAGTATGAATTATGGAGAAAGTTGCAGCCTGAGCTGGGCGTCTGTGAAGTTTGGCCATGTCGTCACTCACACGTGAAGACGCGAGTCCATAAGTTAAAAGCGGTCATTCTGAGACAAAACGAAGTAGCCAAGGTGGCGAATGTAATCGGGTAAACGAATTGCTCGGAATGATTGCAACGACTAAGGCGTATTCACTCGTATTACACCTGAGCTCAGACTATTGAATGCTAGAGTAAGTCGGTGTTAATAAAGTAGGCATCCATAAACAAAACTAAACAGATGACACAAACCAGTGGTACACGATGCAGGAGTAATGGTGAGTTTCACCTGATGTTCAAGCCATATGAAGAGGTAATTGTTGTGCAGCTCAGTCACAGCAAACAGTTCCGTTTTAATGTAGTCCCTCGATTCTACCATAAGGAGGGTATAAAAGGAGGCCAGGTGATACGAAAAAAGCATTAAGTGTGAGACACCAAAAACACACGAGACTATAGCTCTGCGACAGCTAATTCTTTCCCACAGAAAAAAGTAACCATCGTGACAGGTGTGGATGACAATAAAGCCAATGCGAGAGCGGGTTTTCAGCTGATGCACAAATTGCTGCTATCGCGCTGCCAGGAGAACCCTCGAAATTTTGCACATTGCTGATGTTCTGAATTCCCAAATTATGCGAAGTGAGAACAGTAAAAGGACGAAGGCGAAATAATTCTAGCCATGAGGCGGTTGGAAATGTGCACAAACAAGAGGATAAATAGTTGCGAGTAGGTGTGAGATGTTTGAACATCTAGTAAGTTACTAGCACTGTGCAATCTCCAGATATTAGAGCAAAAATCCTTCTTGTACTTCTCTGTGATTTCGTGGATGATGATGGTGAAGGAAGTAAAGGCATGCAGACGGAGATCTTCAAACTTATTCATAGTAAGTGACTAAGAATTAGGCCAATTAGTGGTGCAAACCTCAGAGAGAAGACACTACAATTTTTGCTCCGAGGCTAGTTACACAAGCTCGTCTGGGGTAGAATTAAATAAAAATTGATAAAGAAGGTTTGTAGCAACATAAACCACTCTTAAAAGGTAGGAGATGCGTGAGTTTTCACACAAATAAACTGAAATGTCATGCAGTTGTCAATCACGCCATAAAACCACCAATGAAGCATAAGTTGGATGCATGTAAAGCATGTCGTTTGTGAGTGATGGATTATTTACTTCAAGAAAGTCATCTATTAGTTGAATGCTGTTAAATCAAATACTGCGTAAAGACACTTGTTTAAGCTAAACACTTATGACTAAAGATTTTCGTCGAAAATTTCAAGTGCTTTACAAAAAAATGTAGAGAGTGAAGAGTGGCTTACAGGTTTAAACAAAAAATTCAGTGCAAAAAGGAAGTGCAGAAAGCTACGAGTAGATGTCCCAATACACACGCCATTCACATTGGTCGCAAAACTCATTATAAAGCATGAGACTTTATAATTCCATTCAACACAGCAACACAAGGAACACCGACAGTAGTATCAGTTCTTTCAGTGACAGGAAAGCGAAAAGAGTACATCCAGAAAACACCCCGAATACCATATAATTAGGACACATGAACTAACAATTACACAAAAAAGAACATACTAAGCAGTTTTGGAACTGACTTTAAGTAGGCAACTAAATTTGGATGCGCCAAACTATTTAGCGCAAGACACGTGGGACAATTCTGTGACTAAGTTGAGCGGCAAAAAACATACTTATGGTAAGTTCAATTTCTTTAAAAAAATAGAAAGGAAAAGCAGCTCATAATTGAACATAGCGGCGCATAACAACAACCACGTACCACACCCACAGTAAGCTACAGGCGAGCCTACAGGTAAAATATCGTTTCCAGAGTTATTGTCAATTTAAACAAAGTAAGCATACACATTTTGGATTACTAATAAAAAAGTATTCTCACTTTGTAAACTAATATAAAGACTTTCAAAAGGCAATTTTACTTAGACGATCGGCTCTACAGCCACGAGATACTACTGCATTGGTGACTGGTTATAACGTTATCAACCACCTTCCAATTAAAAACGACTTTTATTGAAGCTTAACAAAAAATGCTTAAAAACGTGTTTTTTATTCAGCGCAATAGTAGACATTAGGGTCAACTAATAGGGTTGTTTTATAAACTCGGGCTTCCACAATGAAGAAGGGTTCGGGGAAATCACAGCATGAGTTTAACTCCCGGAACATAAGCTGGCCATAGCTAAAACCTAATATTACACTAAGATTATTTTTTGGTAATGCAAGCAAGCAATTAAGAGGCAAATGCACCCATTGAGGAGCTCATTGTAGTGCTCACATAAGGATAAAAATGGGGTTATTTTATAACTTGTAGGCCAATAAATCTTCACCAGGTACAAAATTTTAATTTACACATAAATTAACGTGTTATTTTTTGCTAACTATTAGGTTTTATTCTAGAAGTTAATGTCCCTTATTTCAGAAGATTGCACTCATTTATCAGCGTGGTATAGCTCTCGCGCTAGCGCACTTAACAAAAAATGGTTCGTTGTAGGAAAAAAAATTAGAAAATTAGACTCCGCTTTTGATTGTAGATGACATTTTGTCCTGATTAGTGACAGATGATACCGTTCCTGCCTCGATGAATACTGCAGAATTGCCGACTACTTTGTGAGGTGGAGTACAGCGGTCCCAAAACAAGATCTTAAGTATTAAGGGTAGACATTTGGCCTTTTACCTGCATTCACACCTTTTGAGCCTGCAAAAATCGCTTTGATCTTTTTTGCTCCACTGATGATATCCCAAGCCCATTGGTCTTAGATTACTATGTAAACTGGGAGTGTGTAGCACATTGCAAAATAACTCAAAACTCTTCCAATAAAAAGATTTTTGCTAAAGAAAATAAATAAATCCTAGGTTTTTAGCCTCTTGAAACTTTTGCAAGGACGTAAGAAGACAATACTTGGCCAGAATATGTATATTCTGCATGCATTAAAGTTTAGGGCAACGGGTATGACCCAGGGGCTAGTCCACCTGGCAGTGGCTAAAGAGCCGAGACGAAGAATTATCTTCTCTGAAAATCGAGGATATATTAACTAGAGCACTGTAGTTTGGATTACTACGTCCGATAGCTCAAGCACATAATCATCCGCGGATTGAAATTCCGCTCCGTGATATGGCTTCCTGCCATGTCAGTAATTTGAGCCTTCAGTACTCAATTTTCTGTTATGAGACAATAACTTTTCACGGATCAAAGCGGTAGGGTAAAATTCACTATCACATTACGTTATAAGAGTTTTGGGATAATATGAGACTCAGCGAGATGCCTACCGCCAAACTTTTCCTATAAACCCACCACACTTTAAATTGTACGCTTTGACAATTAGAACAGTATTTTCCCCTAGCTGTAAGGCTTATTCTAATGTTGGTTTTATATGAGTCGAAAATGGCATCCTGTTTATGGCGGCATAACGCTTTAATCGAATTTTTAATTCTTCTTAGCAGTGCATCTTTCACCCTTTTTTAAAATGGTTTTTCTATGTGAAATTTCATTTCAATTTACTGTAGCCTTAAATAGGCTTTTCTGTTAATTAGTGAGTTTTGTTTGCAAAACCCCGAAAAGTTGACAGTGTCATACAAAAGCAAAAACCACTTGCACCTAATATTTTTTGGGGGAATTCAGAAGTAGCCATTGCAGGCAGTCCATGTATTAAAAATATTTATTGTTTGGTTACGTCAATCAATTATTACACGGGACTATGCAGAGATTTTAAGGTTCGGCGTTGAAACGCTTCTAAATGTAGATGGTTTATTTTACCGATCCGTTGGTGATTCTCGGTTTAATTACTGATTCGCCATGGCTATTGAGACTCGTCACTTCATTCGGAGTCGCATTCTTGTAAATGTGGACATCTTCAGTCGGGATCGTATGAATTTAACCGCTGAAAAAAATTGGACGATTGCTAACATCTATGCCGAAGTGTGCGATTGCCTTGGGATTCCGGAGTCCAGGCTATTTGGTCTTGCAAGGCAATCAGGTAACTTAATTCTAATGCTTTGATTCTCAGATTACGGTTTTGTGTTCTTGGACCCAGAAGCGCGGATATCATCTTTGGACAGGAAACCTGCCGTCAGGCACATAGTCTGTTTTTAAACAGAATAAATACACACTACAACTATATTTATGGCGTTTCTTTATGCAAATATGGTCTTTTTTTCTTTTATTTGACAGTCGGACCTCTCCAACAACCTATCTTGTTCTTTTCTGTGTGATTTAAGAGCCTCATTTTCTCCCATAACAAACAAAAGTATTCGGTGTCCAAGACTGCTGCTATCCCGAATGGAGGAGGAGAAGCAATCTTACTTTTTCTTCGTGTTCACTTCTACGTCCCGAATCACTGTCTTCGCGGGAGAGTTGTTCGACACCTCTATTACGAACAGCTGAAACTCAATAGTCAAAATTACGGCCTCACCTGCAGTGATGAGGTCTATTTTCAACTTGCTGCTTTTTCGATCAAAATATACCTGCTGGCGAGGCGACATTCCAGTGAGCGTACGACCCCTACCACCTTTAATGAGAGCAACCTCAAACTCAATGACCACTTTCCATCGTTCGTACGTCTTTATTTTGTGAAGATTTTTCCTCTTTTTGTCAAAATATTCCACATGTTAGCTCAAACCTACTATGAAAATACGCGACTCCGTCTTTTATCTTGTATTTACTTTTTGAAACATTGATACATCGACACTGATCAGTAATGCCAACCTCTTGACTACTGCCAGAAGCCCGATTTTATTTTATTTTCACTACGTGAAGTTTTTTATAAAACGGCCCATTTTTGCATAATCATTTTTCTATTTCGCTCTCTTATTACCTCTTTAGTATGTCTGGAGAGGCTGGAACCAGTTTGTCTCTCCTCTAAAAAATTCTTTTCGCCAATTCCCACGCTTTCATCAAGGTGTAGTCAATCACGTGGTTGAATGAGGTGAAATAAACTCTTTAATCAAGGGAATCACGTTTAATGTTTTGAATAAGCCGACAAGGTGCTGTGGGAGACTTGTTAGATCGTTACTCCTCCCTGACGGGTTTTTAGTGCCCGCGTTGCCTCCAAAGAGGAGTTTGAATTCCACTTTGTGCAAATCAAATCAGCGACTACCGAAATGCGCTTTCGAAAGGTATCTTGACCAATCCTAGATGATCGAGAGCTATGGAAGTGGCTACCTCTATGCCAGCATCCCAAACCTTCTCGGCCCATTGGAAGGTCAGGGTCGCGAGACTCTCGAATGGCGCTTTATTCGTCTGGCCTCGGATCCTTCCTCCAATTTTAACCTTCATCTCTATCCAGTGTCGTTATTGGACATATCTCACAGCCCGGCTGCTACCTCCTCCTCCACTACGATTACTGTGCTTAGTTCACCCCTCCTACCTGTGTCTCGACTACGACGTTCACACAGCGGTCGATCAAGCATCCTTCCACCGTCTGGAAAGGGTACCTTCTGGCTTGGAATTGGACCTAACGGATTTGAATTTCACGAGGTGGGTCATATCCCTGAATAGCTCTCTTTGTGCGAACCTCTAGAACTGCGGGAGATTTGAAACAAGACCCCAACCTTGCGGGCCCTTTACCCTCAAGTTTTAGCCCATGACCATTGGCCTAAATCATTGGATCTGAGTCATGCTTGATCGAGAGGCTGACTAATGTCCTGAAAAAATGGACATTTTCAGCAAATATTTTCTGTCCTGAGGTGTTTCAACATCTCCCTAGGAAGTATTTTGACCACTAATTCGATTGGGTTAATTGTTTTGATCGTAGATTTGTGAAGGCCCTTCTTTGTGATGTAAAGATGAATAAGCTTACCGGAGCTGACTCTCTCTTTGGCTAAATAAAGGTGACCGGGATGTCAGTCCGGCGCAAGTCCTAGAGCATCCAATTGGCAATTACTGAAGATGCTTCTCTCTGTCATTGTACATCGACGTTCCAACCACTTTTGAGATGGGATTCGCAGGTTCTAGGGGGCATAAAATTTTTTCCCTTCTTTCCGGGTGTGAGCGATGGGAAAACTGCGGGTAAGGGAGGGCGACAAAATTAACAGGTCCTATTCACTGAGTATGTCATGTGACTACGCCTTCCTAGCCAATCTGGTCGCGGATTCATGCCATGATGGAATTTTGTCACCCTTGGCGTAGTGGCCATGTCCGCTAACCTTGCGCACACTCCCACTTAATCGCCGCATAAGCAGGAATTCGTCCAGATGTGAATAACAGCTGGTGGACGTCAGGTCCCTGTCTCTCTGGCGATCAGTGGAGTGCGCGCCAAGTGCCTCACAAATCACAGGAAAAAAGAATTTTTTGTCTATTTTCTGACATCCTTGTCTCGGTAATCTCTTACTCCTGTCCGAGGTGATCACTCAAAGGCGATTTGACGTTTTTCGCCATCGAGCGGACATAATCTGTTACAAAATTTATGCGTTGAACTAGAGAAAACAAAATACTCATCTCTGTCATCAACCACTCGGGTGGGTTTCTGACCGTTGACTCCTCATTTGCATCTGTGATTATTGCTTTTCAGCTGTTGTAACGATTTAGATTGGAGAGGCGCTAGTTGACCTTATCCGATTGCATTCAATAACTAGGAAAGTAAGGAAAGGAAAGAGGGCTTAGAAGAAAACAAGACTCTTGTCCATAGAAAGTACAAATAACTCAGAAATGTGTGATAACTTAATGTAGGGGCGTCTTTTGACCCGCGGTGACGTATGGTTGCTTTTCATTGCTGAGGGTTGTCATGGATGAAGAAGGATTAGTCACAGAGGTGTGCTGCGCACTGTCACAACTTGGTGGACTATCAACGAATCCGGTGGTCACTGTTGTGACGCCAGTTTGAGTTTGCCTCTTGCAGTGTCGGTACAACCTGGCGCATAGATTACAGCCCCACGAGGCACCTAGCGATTCGGCAACCAATTCGGAAACAGATTAAAGGAGGGGCGGGGGGTACACCAGGGGTGTTATACGTTATCTCCTCACCCACGGTCTTACCACGATCTCGGTAAGTCTGCGTCCTAAATGGTTTAGGTGGCCTTGATGACCTGATATCGACATCAGTCTGACACTCATTTCTTTTTCTTTTCTCTCCTGCTTTGGTCACTAGGAGGAGGAGAGCAAGCGAATAGCCTATCACAACAGTCTACCATGGGTCAAAATTGACAAGCTCTCACGTAAGGTAAGTAACACATTATTTGCACAGACTTGGGTGTCACCCATACCTGGTTTGACTCTTTCTAACCTCGATCATTTGGGTTGCCCTAACACCCTTTGTTTAACAAAAAGAAGTCGAAAAAGTTCTTTACCGTAGAACCTGAAGGCTATGTGGTACTCCAGCACCTGGGTCACCAATCTTTTAGTAGGTTTTTTGGTTAAGCAAGCCTCCTCTTTCACAGTCGTAGGGGTTAAAAGTTCCGCTAAATTGCGGATACCGCTTCCCATTTCTGAAGGTTACTTTAAGGTGTCCATAAAATTTTTATCGGGGAGGAAAAATTCTGCAAGATTTTTGAGGCAGAAAAAATCATTGTCAGTGTGTTTGACCTCTTTAAAATCCTACCTTTACACTAACATTCAAAAGTTAGCCGGTAGACGTGACATCTTGACCTCCCAAAACTGCGCCTTGTGATGCATTTGGATATCTTAAAGGACATTACTTTATGGAGAATTTTTGCGAAATTTTCGTTTTGATTAGATATAAAATTTTACTCTTCTGATCAGGCGAAGTGAGTAAGCCCAACAGTAGTGGATTAGGATCACTGCCTTTATCCGGTAACTACACATACACACACTAGAGATTAAAGGTCGCCGTCAGAGTGCTTAAAAACAAAATTTTCTCATTCCACGAAATTTTTACGAGTCGATTTTTTGGCAAATACCTCGATAACTTGGAGACGGATGGAGCGGGTTGCATTACTGCTATTCAACTTGGCATCAACTTTGTTGTGGTACGGGATGTCGTAAAAAACCAAATTTTCTGGGTTCACTAACCATTTTTAACTGGCAAAGTTGCAAGGCCTTAAACATATTTCTCCGGCTTTCCATACAACAAAGACCCTTCAGGATACACAATTTGATCATTTTCTTCCGAAGCCGCTGACAACGCAGGTCAAATTGATTCTCTCAGTAACAGTCAGGAGGATTTTTTCGCCATAAAGTGTAGCAAGAAAGAAAAATAATTTAAGGATTTCTTGTAAACTCAAAGCAGCATTTTTAGGTAAACGGCTTTAGCTTTTTTTCCACCTACCACCTGGTAATTTTCCACTACGCAGTTGTTGTACTTTGAAGTTAAAACGTTCTCCACTAGCCTCTCACTCCGTTGTTGCATGAGCTGTTCATATGAGGCCTGCGTCGAATAGTGGACTGCGAATGAATCTTTGTGCAGAAAAAAACGGACCTCATTCAGTACCTATATTTATTTGCGCGTTGCTGTGTATGGAGTTTTTTCTGTGGTTTTCATCAAAATTTGAACTAAATTATGTTTGAGTCGTTAGAGAGTGGGAAGTTTTTTTCTTTTTCGTTTTTACCACAGGAATTTTAGCCACCAATTTCACGTCATTCACTTTGTTTAATCGAGTCATCGGATGGCATTGGGAAGGCGTCCGCATAAGTAAAATAGTGAACGTTTGTCACTTGTTGCCAGTGTAATACTTCTTTGGCATTTGTAAGTAGTGAAATAAGTAGAAAAATAAGTTTGGTCAATCACTTAAGCAGTCAATTGCTGACCTAACACTCTAAATGGCGGGGATGCTTGCAGTTCCATCTGCAGGTGCATTTCTTCATCAGCTGGCCCAGCCTTAGTCAAAATTCGTGGAACCACTTTACTGAGTGGGGCTCGGTTGAGGACGTGAAACCAAAAGTTGGACTTGCTTTCGGATAAAAATGCCCTAAACTCAAAACTTGTTTGCGACAATTTGGCTGCTAGGACAAAAGAATCTGTGTTTGTGAGGCAGATCTCTGACTTCTTGGAACCTGTAGGCAGTTGCAAAACACATGCCGCGGGTTATGTGCATACATCATGGAGGGCAGATAGTCGCTATTTTATCTGTAGTCTCTAACAGGCTCTCTACAATCACCCTCCCCGTATAGCTTCAAATATCTGTTGGACCTGATGACGATGAAACGAATTTGTCTTCTTTACGGAGACAGTTTAGTCTGGTTACACAGTTGAGGAGGCTGGCATTTGAAGAGGCCACGGTGCTTTGCTCAGCAGAAAAGGTTTGGTGTTGCGTATCTTTCTAACCATGACGAAATTCATGATGATGTGGATGCTTAAATGACTCGAGAGGATAGATGCAAACGAACTTTAAAGACTACCCGTTGTTTACTTGCTTGTCTTACGCTGTAAAACCCCGTCGTTAGGAGATATTTGTTACCGTTCACCTGACTTAGTTATCACCTTCAAAAGACACTCCTTTAGGGCAAACATCGCTTGCCCTTTTAGATATGTGGGTGCTTAGGCCTGAGAAAATCCTGCTAAGCTACAATTCTATCGTGGTGACAGCGCATCGCAAGACCTCCTGGCACAGCAGAATTGACTTCTGAGAGAATTGTAGTTGAGGGGGTGGGGCTGAAATGAAAGGTGCGTTTTCGTCCTTTCCTCCAGTTTGTTTAACTTCTATTTTTCCCCAAGTAAGGCTGTTTGTTTATTTCACTTTAAATTTTCTGCGTTTTTTTCGTCTACCCAACTCGGTGCGCATTGGCTTGACCCAACACACATCAACTCAAATGCCCATTAAATAAGGACATGTCGCGCCGCAGCGCTCAAAGTCTCGCATTTCGCTCGAATACGTCAAACATGGTAATGGCCATAACATGGGTTGAGCTTCTTGTCACCATATGGAGGTCAAATTAGTTAGCATCTCGAGTCTTTGTTTCATAATCTGATGCAGAACAATGTGACGTGCCGCAACCATGGTAACCGTGTGTAAGCGACTAGAAGGATTTAGTCACACACGCTTATTAGCCAAAGAATGGCGCCACCAGTGGGTGTGAGTGAATACTTTCCATTGTGGTTGGGGAAAAGTAGGCAATTGTTGGGTGACTCATGGCCTGACCGATCAAGACGAATGGCTTTTATGTAGAAATGTCATATTGGGGGTACAGGTGGTGTGGAAAAGGTCGGAATAAGTACAGTCGCTGATACTCGATAGCTTGACATTTTCAGAGAGAGGAAGCGAATGTTCAATGGCAGGCAGCTCCACTCACTAGTCATATGACCTTTGGGTGGTTCACTTCCGCGCCTTTTGCCCCTCATCATGATCTCTGGTAATGCAAATGAACCAACTAAGGAAGAAATACGGATTCTACTCTATGGGCTGGAAAGATGATGTAAAGTCACTTGTATCACTATGCTTTGGAGGTCAACTGATGTCAACTTTCTTTCTGCCTCTTGTGGCTCCATTTTGTTTTCCTGCGGCACCTTGTTAAAAAACACCACACCTTCTCCATGTAGCACTTGGACGAATTTCACACGCAAAAGTGTGCCTTAACGACTAGCTAGGTTTAACTACATGCTGGTAATTGGTGAATAGAAAGAATGACAGAAATTGACGAAGTGTGAGCCATCATCATCATCACCAAGTATACATGGACGAGGTTATGGAATAACACTTTAGTCCAATACGAAAAATTCTGCAAGTGTAGAGTAAGTAAGACAGTTAGAGAAGGTTCCATGATAACAAACATAAAATTTGAGGGGGTTACTTAGGGGAGATACGATCGTTGTCCAACCGATCACTTTCCGAAGGTAAAGGACACCCAGAGATCGAAGAGTTTGAATTGCGGACCAATGGAATAATGTCCAGATACAGTTGGGTTGTATAAATGGCAGATGAGACGCCCCATAATCCAACCATCATTTGTTCGTCCTCAGCTCAAACCTTACCACCACCGCCGCCACCATTTCGAGGTGAGTCATTCGTTTGCGGTCTGAGAGGCCCCGGATTCACACATCTCTGGTCGTCATACCCTGTTCTGCCTGCTTGTGTCCGCATGTGATCGGGCACCACACTTCTACACATACACACACACATACTTAGGTGTCCGTTGTTTGTGTGTACCTCTCGCCTCTGTGCTTGCGTTAGGACCTGCGGACTAACAACCGCCCCTTGCATACCCGCACGCAAATCCAGTTGGCACGTGCCATTGCGGCTAAGATAGTCCTGCAAAAACACTACAGTTGATTTATGCGCAGTTAGTTGGCGTAACAACTAATCCATGTTATCAATCATCTCATTCCTTGAAAAAAAATAGTTCACTATTTTTTTCTCAAGCCTATTTATTCTTTCTCCTCGAAATGTGATTGGCTCTGTAAAATGGCTTTTGAGGGCATTTAGTGATGGTCTCCATCAACTTGTTCGGGCTTTTCGTGAATCAGCAGGCTAAACACAGCCTTATGGTAGCATAAAAAAAACACATTTTTAGGTAAAAAATGTGGTATTTCTTATCCGCTCCAAATCCACCATTTACCGTTGACCGTCATATTTTTTCCAACTATTCCATCCCGTCTTAATTCAAACGCCAAGCAAGAAGTAAAACAGTTATGATAACAAAGGGGGCCGACTTATTTTTTTTACTCATGCGAAAATTTTCCACTAAAATATTACCCGCGATTGCCGAGTTGGACAGCTATCCACGATTGTCTCCGATGCAAATCCTCGTGGAGACGAATGGGCAAAGTGTGTCATTAAAACGAATACAGTTTTTTTTCTAAACTTTTGCATTGTTAATTTTCAGTCATAAAAGTTTAGTCTATCCAAGTGACTACTCGTATTTGGCGATTTTATTTTCATGTGCCGCCTTCCATAGAGTGACAATTCACGATGCGAATGTGCTCACCACCGTGCCTTACAGCTAATAAAATCGGGACACACGCGGATGAGAAAGAAGTGTATATGATTTAGAAATTGTGGTTCAACTCATCGCTGCTTGCTTGTGCACTTTTCACTAGGGCTAGCGGCCATGCTGCCTTTTGGAGCTCGCCCTAAGGCAGAATTTTGACCTCTTGCTTCCATTTACCCACAGACACGATTACTCACGGTTGTCCAAAAGGTGTCACATTCCCTTTTGATAAGGCATTCGTGTTTATGTCAATCCCCAATTTCTACTTGCAGGTCAGAAGCTAGAATTGTCAAATTGGTCTATAAAATCCTACGGCAACGTTGTGTTTGTGGAGTATGTGGTATGGCAGTTCACTGTTGTGTGTTGTTTGCCCACCTTATTGGGACGACCTATTCAGTTAATCTGTGAAAGTTGGAGCCGTTGCTGAAATAGGTTTAACCCACATTTCAGGACTTAGATTCCACATATCTGGGGTGTGTCAGGCGGTGTTTAATGCGCTCTTAAAGCTGCAGTGAGGAATATAAGATCTTCAAATGGATTGGAAGTCATAAATCGCCGAAGAATATTTGGAAGGACTCCTCCCATAGTTCGATCATCCACCCCCCTATCTCGAGTTCTTATTCAAATGCCGAATTTATTGATATCCACCTAAGAGACGTGGGGTGTGGATAAAGCATCACTGTAAGCAGGTTGCGCATATAGACAAAAATAATAGCAAATGAAGGCTAAACCAAAATCTCCGTAGTTCCTGCTCATTTTTCGTGTCAGCATTGTATTGTGCGACCAATTCCATTCGAAAGGAGTATTTTTAATAATCTTTTTTGTTTATCAATTATACACAGCCACTGTCATTGTTCCTTACCTCTCCTCCTCATCACAGCACGCGAGCTTCATAATTCACCTGACCTCAGGTCGAAAGTTGACCTTCTTCTCGGCCTCCTCTCTAGAGGCACAGCATCTCTTCACGCTAAGCAGTCACTTGCACAAGCACCAGACGGTGGCTCACCTCGCCTCCCAACAGTCCGCTCGACAATTGGAGCAGCAAGGTTTGTACACTTGCTACTTATTTTATATTTAAGTAGAATATGTTTTGACCTTGAAAATGAGCAGCGATTGAAACTGGATCAAATTATTGGTAAAATCTATTAGTGGAATTCGGTTTAATAATTTTCGTTCTTGCGCAACAAATGTTGATTGGTTCACAATGTGCTCTTTTGTCGTTGTTTTATCAGATCGACTACAATACAACGAGGCGTACATCTACAGTGCAGGCGAGGTGGTGACCATGCGACGGGTTCATGCCGCACCAGACACGCAGGCAAGAGAGAGAATGCTAATGGGAACATCGGAGTCGCCCCTCTTCCCCCAACTCTCCAGTCTCAATCACAAAGACGGTCAGGATGAGCGAACACAATCGGTTTACATATAAGCGAAGGGTGGGGGTTGCAGCTGTTTCCATCACCATTCCCCTCCTTCCGTTTTTCCTTCTTAACCCTCATTTAGACGTTTCTTGCTGCTCATGCTGTCACGATGTAAACCGTCTTTATTTTTGGTTCTTCTTTTGTATAGTTTTGTTATTAGTTTGTTGGGTAAAAGTGCAAAGGTTCGGGAGGTGGCTTTTTCCTGCCCCATTGTGTCGGGTGGGTGGGGATGGTGATGCGAGCAACTTATAAAATGGCAGGAATGAATCAAAGTAATCTGGGTCTAGCGTGACTGCTCAAATCAAACCGAGTCAGTGGCTATAAATTCCAGGCTATAGAACCGTTATTTAGGCTTTGCTCACTACTAAAGGGGTTTAGTGTTAAATATGTAGTTTATTTGTTGCCTATTATCGAAGGCCTTATTAAACTTTTTTCAATATTTCAAAGAAAAGCGTTGACAAGGTTTAATTTAAACATAAACGGCGGCATTTCCTTGTGAAAAGCATCTCTCTACAGCTTAGCCTCCATTGCACTTGTCATCAAATAACAAAATTTATTTGGATGTGCTAATAAAAGAACAAATAGCTGTTTACTTGAACGGAGGATTTTTCGTATGTTTAAGTTGCTCTTACGTTGGTGATAATTGTACGAATCTGGTGTGGATGTTTGCGTTCTCCGTTCCCCGCCTGGTGTCGTCTATTTTACCTCCATTTATATCTAGCTTATATTTGAAGAGGAACTTATTTTGTTATATTTGTCATAAGTTTTCCCCTGTGTATTCATGTGGTTTGAGTTTACATCCCGATTCTTGCTTATCCTATTCAGCCTTTGCTTTCTTGTTCATCTTGATTTGCATGATTCATATTTAACTCCAAGTTTCTTTTCTTCTGGCCCAGTGCATAAAATGTGCGTTTTAACTGTAACCCCATTCCTGCATTTTAGTTATTTATTGTTAAACAAAGCGAATCTAACTTTTTTGCGACTTGGAGTCTATTTAGTTAGTTGGCTCATAGTGTTCGTAATTTATGCACAGCTACGCGCCATTGAGATACAAATTTCTGTATTTCTTTTAAGATGGCTGCTGAGGGTGACGATATTGTAACACCATGGGATGTAAAAGCGGCCTCTGATTCCGGTGTCGACTATGCCAGACTGATCGAACGTTTTGGCTGCTCTAAAATTGAGTCCACTCTTCTTGAACGTTTTGAAAAGGCGACAGGGAAACCACCGCACCATTTGATTCGTCGAGGCATCTTTTTTGCGCATCGAGACCTTGAGCAAATCCTGGCGATGTACGAGAGCGGCAAACCCTTCTATCTCTACACTGGTCGTGGTCCCTCCTCTTCCTCTCTCCACGTGGGCCACCTCATTCCCTTCATTCTCACCAAGTGGATCCAAGATGTCTTCAATGTGCCCTTGGTTATCCAACTTACTGATGATGAAAAGTTCTTGTGGAAAAATATCCCCATGAATGAGATTATCGAATTGGCGAGGGAGAACGCCAAGGATATTATTGCTGTGGGGTTCGATCCCAAAAAAACGTTCATATTTAACAATCTTACTTACGTGGGGTGAGTTACGCTTATTTGGCTTGTATGTCACCAGCGTGAATAGCGTCACTTTTGGCTCTTTCACCTCTGAGACTG